CTAAGTGATGGAATGACAGGCATGAGTCACCACACCTGGCTCAAATATGCAGATTTAAAAAAAGAGCTTTCAGCTAAATGTGGTCATACCAGTGTTCCAGGCTGAGGCAGAAGGATATTGAGTTCTAGGCTCGCTGGAGCTATATGGCAAGAACCTGACTCTAAAAAGGGAAAGAACATGAATGCCCTAACTGTATTATTTTTCTTAACAGTTAATGATCAGTCTAAACAAGGCTCATACTATTTAGCTTCCAACCAAACTTGTCAGAAGCATTAATGTGTACTGACCAGGTCTTATTCTGTTACTTCATTCACAAGTGAATACTGAAAAGTGAGCCTTTCAGAACAGTGTGTTGTTGGCTGTTCTCTTGGTATGTCTGTGTGTGTGTGTGTGTATGAATATGAGCATATATACATACATGCATACACACACACATATATATATGCATGTACACACACACACAGACATACACACACACATATATAAAATTCTGCACCTTTGCAACCATCCTCCATGGCAGGAGTTAGAGGTTGAAAAGGATAAGAAGACCATGTATACTGGGCTGGGGTGGCATGCACCTTTAATCCCAGCACTTGGGAGGCAGAGGCAGATGGATCTCTGTGAGTTCAAGGCCAGCCTGGTCTACACAGCAAGTTTCAGGACATGCTCCAAAGCTACATAGAGAAACCCTGTCTCGAAAAACCAAAACAAACAAACAAACAAAACAAAAATATTACTCTGTGACAGATAAAAATTACATATAAGCCACATTCTAAGGTCAATGAGTAAAGTTTTGGTTAAAGTTTTGGTTTTGTTTTTAAATTTAGTTTATGTGTGTGAATGTTTTGCCTGAATGTATGGATGTGCATTACATGCTTGTCTGATGTCTGTGGAAATGAGAAGAGGGCTTCTGACCTGGAACTGGGATGACAGATGGTTGTGAGCCACCATGTGGGTGATGGGAATTGAACTTGGGTCCACTGCAAGAGCAAAAAGCTCTTTTAAAGACTGAACTATCTCTCCAGCTCCCACCCACAAGTAAAATTTTATTAAATTAGAATTACATCCATTCTTTGCAATTTTTTATATTAACTTATTGTGTGTGGGGAGGGGTGTGTGGGTGTGTGTACTTGTGCTGTGAGTGTAGAGGTCAAAGGGTAAATTGTGGGAGTCAAATTCTCTCCCTCCACCACATAGGGCCTGGGTTATCAGCTTTGGCCAGGAGCATTTGTAAGTAAGTAGTGAGTCATCTTGCTGGCCCTCTTTGTATTGTTTATGGCTGCTTTTGTGTTACTGTTGCAGAACTGAATAGCTGCTCACTTCAGCAGCTACAACACAGACCCTCTGTTCCAGATATTTACTATCTGGCCCTTGGCAGAAAAAGTTCACTAACTCCTGTTTAGAGGGAAAGCCACAGCTCATGAAAGAGAAAGCAATGCTGCATTATGGGACTCAAAAGGGAAAGAAACACGCTTAGGTTGACATATCAAAGGAAAACGCACTATTTCTTAGAGAAAATAGATAGGATGGACAGGGGCATTCCAAACACAGGCGATCGCCTCTGTCCAACAGAGGAGGGGGAAAGGTACCCTGTGAGTAAGATGAGAAGTCCATTTTGACTGCAAGGCAGTTCTAAGCAAAAAGGGAACGTGTAACACAGCTTTGTAGAGGAGAGTAATTGAAGGCTTCTTCAGGAAGGGAGTGACTTACTGAGTATGCTTTAAGATAATTTATCTAGCAACAATGTGTAAAATGGGTCACAGTAGGCAGCTGGAAGCTAGGAGGCTACAAATGTCCAGGAATCAGTGTGTCAACATAAACAAGTGCGTCCTTAGTTGAAATGGACCAGAGGAGCCTGAAAGATCTTGTCCAGCTGCTGCTAATAGATGCGCCAGTTGATGGGTTGGTTATTCAAGGGAAGGAAGAAAAAGGTGACAGGTTTGAAGAGTGGATAATTTAAAAGATGGTGACACAATTAGCAAAGGAAAAGGAGACAAAACTGGTTTGGTGACAATGGTAATGAGCCCCGGTTTGCACACAAGTTAGAGAGAAGTTGCCAGTAGAAGATATCCTGGTCTGACAGAAAAATAGGACAAGGAGTTCAAATTCAAAAGCGAATTCAGGACTACAAGACACAGGGTTTTCCTGTTCTCTATATACCAATTACAATTTAATATAAGTTGCATTGATGACCAGCCTAATGAGATGATAAAAGTACTTAAACTTAAAATAAGCATTTCTACAAACTGTGGCTCCACTCTCTTTCTGAATAAAAAGGAAAAAGGAATTGCCCAAATGTCAAAGAATTTAAAAACAAAAGGAGGGGAAAAAAAGGCAGTTTATTAAGCACTCTTGCTCAAAATTTCAGGCTTTCAGACTTGTCGAATTTTCAATCAATAATTGATAAGATAGCAAAATCGAATTTGCAATTTGTTCATTCATAATTGATAACAATTCCAACAGACTGTTCTGAAATTTGCCCTTGAAACTTCCATTAAAAAATGTTCTCAGAAAATGACAATTATTGAAATAGGTAACATGTTTACTTACTGTAAAGCACCTAGAAAACACTGCTACCAAAAACTGTTTCTGGAATTGGAGGGTGGCTCAGTGGGTAAGGTGCTCGCTGCACAGGCATGAGAGCCTCAGTCCCCATCTCCAACAGTCACCTAAGAATCCAGAGTGATCCCAGAATCGGCATGGAGACCGGAGAACCCTTGGGGCTTCTTGGTCAGTTACTTGAGCCTAATTGGTGAGGTTCAGTGAGAGACGTCTCAAAAAATTAAAGAGAAAAGATAAATGGTTGACCTCTGGCTTCTCTGTGCCTACAAAGGAGTGGGCACACGTGTACACACACACACACACACACACACATACACACACACACATACACACACACACATACACACACACATATACACACACACATACACACACACATACACACACACACATATACACACACACATACACACACACACACATACACACACACACATACACACACACACACACACACACACATAATTATGCTGCTTCTCCTTTTGCTGCACTAAAGGGATGACTGTTACACAGCTCTTACAGGCCTGTGTCCTGAGGCCCAGACACAGTTCATTCAGATCCACTCACTTAGCCTAGGTCATCTTAGTTGTCACTTCTTAAAAAGGAGTGACATTATACTCCCCATTTCTCTTCCAGTGAGTAAAATTTCCAGCAGAATTTGTACAGTGCCCAGCTCAACTGCCTACTTCCCTCCGTGCTTTTCTAATTTTTTTTTTTTCGCCCATCAGAGCCTTTTCAATAACTGGCCTTGGTGGCTCACGCCTTTAATCCCAGCACTCCAGAGGTAGAGGCAGGTGTATCTCCATGAGTTCAAAGCCAACCTGGTCTACATGACAAATTCAGGCCAGTCAGAACTACATAATAAGGTGAGACCCTGTTTCAAAAACAAAGAATAGAAACAAACTCTTCAAAACAAAGCTCTGATAGGGCTGGTTCTCTCATTAAAGGTGATATTAGAAAACATTCTAATGATTAAGTCTATGTAAATTCTTGTGCTCTTTGGTACTAGATATTTTTGGACAGTGCTTTCCGGAGTCACATCATAGATTTACACCTATGAATAATCTATAAAGTCACGAAGGCGCCCCAGGCGTGCACTTCAATGAACCACTTATTTTAATTCTATAAACAGGGTTAATTTAGGTACCGGGTATAAGCATACTTGGGTATCATCCATTTGTGAACCGCGTCTGCAGAGTAATTCGGACAGCTGGCCCTGGTTAAGACACGGCAGACTGAAATACTTGTCAAATCCAAAGAAAGGCCAATTGAAAAATGAAAAGCTGCCCTGGACAGGCTCTTTCACTGCGCTCTGGGAGTGGGGACTACAGTTCTGTTACTTCTCCTGCTACTTTCCCCAGCACAAAGGACCACGAGAACACCGACGGCCTGGGGGCGTTGGCGACGGAATTCCAGTGTGCACTTGGAGGCCCCGCGACCGCTTCGGAGGGTTTCTAAGCCCTGAGTTCCCCGTTATCCGCTGGGGTCGAGAGGATGCGCTCCGTTGAGGCTGACTCCCGACTCTGTCGGACAGCCAGCAGGCGGAGGAGAAGCTGATCGGAGCACCCCGGGGGTGCAGGCAGGGAAGGGGACCACAGCTAGCAACGGCCGGCCAGAGACCAGGCGAGGCCCAGGCCGAGGAGGCGA